TTTTTTTTGGCGGTACCAGGGATCGAACTCACGACATTGCACTTGCCAGGCAGGTGCTTACGCCACTGAGCTATACCCCTGGCCTCTGCCTTTATCTTGTATCTGTCTGCTTTTTTACCTTGAACTTTGGGTCAAATTCTGCTCAGCTCTGCATCTAGGCATGTTAATGATGAAGGAATGTTTATTGAAAAACTGGTTTACTGGCCCTAATCCTATGACGTCCCTTCCAGACTGAGGACACTAAACGTAATTAAGATATTTTCAAGATTTTCTTGGACATTCAGCTGCCAACTTTTATATCCTATCACAGACCTATGTGACCAGCAGTCTCCAATCAATGCTCTAAACCTACAGTCATCTTGGGGTGAGGAGTAACAAAGCCTGTCAGACAAATCACCCCAATGAAATCACCTCCAAAGCAGGAACAGTCATCTCATGAGACCTGGATTTCCCCTTCAAGACTTGAGAACTTTGGAGCCAATTTGCAGAACTAGAACTGAGACAATGATCAACCAGATGACAGCCTACCCCAGCAATCTTTTACTATTAAGGCAACCTGATCTCTCCCTTCCTATCAGTAAGGTTTCCCATTTCTTTGAGGTAACCCTCCCCCCCCAAATAAAAGCCTTGCCTGGACTGGTTTCATGTCTACTGTCTGTAGGTCAGAATATCCTGTGTCTAGTATCAAAAGGTCTAAGGATATATCTCAGCGGTAGAACACTTGCCTAGCATGCACAAGGCCCTGGGTTTGATCCCCAGCAGTACAATAAATAAATTAAATAAATAAATAAATGCAATCTCCGGACTTTTACCTAGTTAATGCCCCACAATACTTGTTAAATGACCTTTCACTAAAATAAAAGCATAACTTAGTGGGGGGATTGCCAGATCCCCCAAATATATACTATACGATTCCATTTATATTTGTAAGAAATGCATGATAATGAAAAGCAAATGGTGAGGAAGGCACCAGAAAAATAGGCAGTGATTCTTTAGGAAAAGCTGGCTAGGCGTGGTGGTTCACCCCTGTAATATTAGCACTCTGGGAAGCTGTAAGTTTTAGCCCAGCCTGGGCAATTTAGTGAAATGGAAACTTGAATTTAAAAAAAAAAAAAAAGTTTGGAGATACAGCTCAGTGTGAAGGCCTTATATTCAATCCCCAACACTGAAAACAAACAAACAAAAACTCTTAAATCTCCACAAAGGGTCCCAAGTGGTTAATTGGGCCCAAATTCAAATAGAACCTACTACCCATTTGCCAACGAGGGTCATACACGTACTGCTATGTTTCTGGAGGAACCACAAACTGAACTTTAGGCCCTTGCCCAGGCATGTTCTAGTCCCAAGTGCCAAGATAAACCAGCCAGAAAGTCCTATTTCACAACCTGGATCTAGCCACTGATGTGTGACCTCCTGTCAAATTTAAATACCAAGCACTCCAGACTGAGCACTTCCAGCCATATATTTGTATCCCTCATTTGCATAGCAGACAGGAATGGAAACCTGCACAGGAACTTTCTCTGCATAAAGTAGCCCCTATTTTTGTCCACTCTATGCCCATTTCCTTTCTCCCTAGTTTGCAAAGAGCTTGTTGAAATAAGCTTCTCTTTTTGTCTTGAATTCTTTACTTATGAATTTTGGTTCACAAAAATGCACTGGAGGGCTGGTGAGATGGCTCAGTGGTCTAAAGCACCTACTTAGAACAAGTTAAGCTAAGCAAAGCACAGGGACCGCGGTTCAATCCCCCAGCACCACATGCCAGCCAGCCCCGTCCCCTGGTGGGCTGAGCTGGCCACACACACACACAACATAAATAAATAAATAAACAAATAAAATTTAAAAAAATGCACTGGAGAAAACTTCTGGGGTGATGGATGTGTTCACTGCCTGAATTGCAGTGATGTTTTCACTGCAATATATATCAAAATTTATCAAATGATGTGCTTTATATCATACTCAGTAAACCTACTAAATATTTTTCAGATTAAAGATAAGAAAAAGCAGATCATGCAGTGCTGATTCATCTGACAGATGTCTTTCGCCCTCACCCTCCCTGGCTCCTCCCCCATGCTTCTGACAAGAACATGACCCTGATAGTCGGCTCCAATGCTGTGTTCTGACCATTGAAGAAGGAACAAGGAGATCCCAGAACGCAGGAACCCTAAACCCTTGACCCATCACTTGCTATTGCCAGGGTCTTTTCTTCCTCAAATGAGAAGAGCAAACCTGTGTTTGGTTAAGTCACTCCAGTTTGGATTCTTGGTTCATCCATCCAAACACAAACGCAAATCTTAATGGGAACAGTTCACTTATATCTCAACACCTCATTTTTATTATTATGGTTTAGAGATTCTGCTGTGTGTGTGTGTGTGTGTGTGTGTGTGTGTGTGTGTGTGTGTTAGTAGGGACTGAACCCAGGGTCCTTATACTGAGCTATATCCCCCAGACCTCTTTCATTTTCGTTTCCTTCCAGACAAATTTTCACTAAGTTTCCCAGGCTGAGCTAGAATTTATGATTCTCCTGCCTCAGCCTCCTAAAGTATTGGGAGTACGGGTGTGTGTAACTGTATCTGGTTTGCTTTACTTTTATATAACTATTTTATTATTTATATGTAGCCAAATAGTTTTTTGTGTTCAAAATTGTTTCTTACAATACAATTGCTCCTTCATTCAGAATTTTTATTTTCTCTAAATACACCGTTTGGGGTTTTATGAGACAAGTTCTCACTTTGTAGTTCAAACTGGCCTTGAACTCCTTCTGATCCTCCTGCCTCAGCCTCCTAGTCCTGGGATTACAGGCATGTGCCACTACCCCCAGCCTGAATATATCTTTTTTTTTTTTTTTTTTACAGAACCAGGGATTGAACTCAGGCTCTTGTGCTTGCCAGGAAAGTGCTTATTCTACTGAGCCAACTCCCCCACCCCTAAGAAAGACATGTACTTTCTTTTTCTTTCTTTTTTTCTTTTTCTTTTTTTTTTTTTCTTGTATTTTAGGGAAGGTCTACAGGGTGTCTCACTCACTCGCAGGGCCTGCGCTCTGGGTCTGTTCAGGATCCCATGGCCCTCGGTCGTCTCACTCACTCGCTGGGCCTGCGCTCTGGGTCTCTCTTTCTTATTCTTGACAGGTACATTTCGTCTACTCTCTATTATTCCATGCTACCTACAAGAGGAAATATGGCTATATATTTTTAACTTTCTATATTTTATCGATAATGAAAGATAGGGGGCTGGTCAGATAGCTCAACAGACTAAAGTGCCTGCTTAGGGAGAGCGCAGCGGCCAGGGTTCAATCCAAGGCATGCCTTGCCATCCCCACCCCCGGGGGCACACTGAGATGGCGATTGAAAGTGGGAGTGGTGGCATGCACCTGTAATCCCAGCACTTGGGAGGCTGAAATCAGGAGGATCACTAAGAGTCCAATCTATGTAGTGAGACCCTGTAGACCCTGCAGTCCTTGTCCTAAATACATTAAAAAATAAAAAAGATATATAGGCAGGAGTGATGGCACACACTGTAATCCCAGGACTCTGGAGGCGAAAGCACCCAAATGCAGTGAGTTTCAAGACCAGTCTGGGTTACAAAGTGATTTTGAGGCCAGCCTGCACTGAAAATTGAGACCCTGTCTCAAAAAATTATATATATATAACAAACTCTCTGGGAAAAGAAAGAAATGCTGAATTAATCCTAATTATAAAACAAGGGGTATGGTGGCCCACCACAGGATAGGTGATATTTCAGTTATGATTCTGAAAATAAAGAGAATTTGTTTTGTCTCCTTTTTTCAGTTGTTTGTACTTTTTCTCTTCTTAATTTCTTATACATTTCTTTCTTTTTTGTTTCTCCTTCCAATTTTGCATGCATATATATGGTAATATCAATAACCGTTTAGAAGACAACACTATGCATTACAATAAATACTAAGTGAAATTCTGTATCACTTATAATTTTTTATGTTTTAACATTTTGTACTCTTTTTTAAAAATTAAAAAATAAACAAAAATAAAAATAAAAGAAGATTTTCCCAAGCAGAAAAAGATAGAGAACAATATTGGAATCAGAGACAGCACTTAGGAAGGTGGGATATTTGAAGGAAGAAATACGTTAGAGAAATGCCAATGTATAATGTTTCTAAAGCTCACATCAGTGAGAGAGAGAAAAACAGCCTGCCTACACTCGGGAGGCCTCTGGCTGTATGAAAGCATGGAGGAAGCGTTGGCATGTTGAGTCATATTCTTTACTCAAAGACATAGATTCACTGGGTTCAGGCTGCCAGTCTCAGGAGCTTAATATCAGGAAGGCTCTCACCTTTAACCAGGTCCAACCCAACCCCCAACCACACACTTAAGAAAAGTTTCCTAGAGGTGGGTTTTCTGGAGCCTGCGGCAAGAGGATTGCGATTTTGAGCCCTGTCTCAGCAACTTAGCAAGACTCTGTCTCAAAATAGACAGCTGGCTGGGTACGTGTGTGTGTGTGTGTGTGTGTGTGTGTGTGTGTGTGTGTGTGTGTGTGAAGGCTCTTGGTTCAGTCTCCAGTAGTGAAAAAAAAGAAGAAAGAAAGAAAACATTGCCCTGATAAAAGTGAGTCACACTTCTTATCTGGAATCACTTTTTCATTTTAATGTTATCACTTCAAACACTTTGTGTTGTGATTACTCTCTGTACGGTTTTTGTTTAACAAAATCTCACTTCACCTGATCATCTTGTAACATTTTCCCCTCTCCCCTACACATCTATGTTTGATTTTTTGAGATATGAACCAACAGAATAACTATTCTTTGTTGAAATAACCTCCAAAAAAATCACAAGGAAACTTAGAAGAGTTGAAAGAACTAAAAATTTTAATACATTTCAAATACAATCAGGCCAGAATTGCTGTGCATCCGGGGGGATGGTTGATATGACAATCAGAAGCAACAGGCATATCTTCACACAGCTGGGGGAAGGGTAAGAAACATTATCCTGGACTATATAGTTGTCTCATCCTGCAGCAGCATCCCCTTTTGTACTGAGTTCTGTCCTCCTCCCAAACTCTCCAGCCTCACCAGATGTGAGGTACCCTGGGTCTCCTCAGACCTCTGGAAAATGGGCAAAAAATGGCAGGTATGGTGGGTTGCTTCTTGAGACAGGCAGATGGCACCTAGAGAACAGCAAAAGCTGGGGTCAGGTGAGATGAAAAGGGACAGCAAGAACGCAAGGGTTGCAAGGCTCTGTGATGTAGAAGTCAGGAACTCTTTTCTCCAAAGTGCATCCCTCTAGTTCTGGATGTACCCTCCATGGTACTCTCCCCCAACAGAGCATATGAGAGAGACAAAGAGAAACAGTGTCTCACAGGACAAGGAATACAAAGAGCTGCATTTAAAAATCAAAGGACTGGGAGCTACCCAGGAGGAGGAAGACTCAAACTCACCGCCACCATCGTGGACCAACACTTACCCTTAGTGAAGCCCAGGAACTTTGGGAGCCTCTGTTGGAGGAAACCTGTTGTCTAGCCCATACTTCTATACTACCAGTCAGGCAGCCAGTGCAGGAAGCAACCAGGATATGCAACAGGCTTGACCAGAGAAACCAAGGATAAATCCACTCTGACAAGGGGAAATACTTTGCACACAAACTCATAATTATGATCAGTTTTGTTATATAATTATGAGCTTTGTTTCTGTGGTCTAATACACAAAATCAATGGTTACCGTATTTGGTTACTTTATAAATTGTGCTCATTGCTAAGAGTACTGCAGTAGCTAGAATATCTTTTTTTTTTTTTTTTTTTTTTTTTTTCCAGAACCAGGGATTGAACTCAGGCCCTTGAGCTTGCCAAGGAAGCACTTATTCCACTGAGCCATCTCCCCAGCCCTAGAATATCTTATCTGTTGTAATCGGTAGTTTTCCCTGGTATAACTATATTGGGAAGCTGAGGGCTAATAACCTCTCCACAGCCCTACACCAAAAGACAAGGGACTGAACCAAACAGAAACCAACATCTCACTATCAATTAATTAGGAAGATCAGGCCTTGGAACAGACACAAACCAAGGACCTCCTACACAGCAAAGCTATCCCTGAAGTGAAGACTTTTCCTAGAGAGGCCCTGATGTTACTGACATAGCTACCTACTAGAAAAACTCAAGAATTGTTACAGAAAAGAAAATTTAAAATTTTTCTGAAATAGAAAATGTCAAAACACAGGAGAAAAATGCAATCAGATCTGCAGCCCACCCAGGAAAACTCCAGAGACATTGATATAGAAGAATTTAGAAGTCAAACTCCTGAAATTTCTGAAATGATAACAAATGAAGTAAAGAAACAATTCCATCAGGCTATAGAAGAAATCGGATCCAGAAATCAGGAATAATATCTCAGTAAAAAAAAAAAAAAAAAGAAACCACACCATAATGAAAGAAATGCTCAGCATATTAAAAGAAGATACAATTTTTTTTAAAAGATGAGCATAGAAAAATGATTGAAACATTCAGTGAAAAATATAGAAAAGAATTAAAGTGCATGAAAGAGATATACAGTAAATTAAAAATTCCATTGAAAGTTGGCAAAATCATTTGAACAAAACTAAAAATACATTTTCAGACCTTGAAGACAACATTGCAGCTAGGGATTGTGAAAGGAAAGATCTCTTAAAAATAACAAGAATCAAGGAAATAACAATTCAACAACTCTAAGATGATGGAAAAAAAAAACCAATATAAGACTAATAGATGTCAACAAAAAAAAAACAAAAGTCAACATAGATGTCATAAAGACTATTTGCATAAGTAAAAACAGAAAATTTCTCAAGCATGGAAAAGAAATCTGACATACAAATAATTCATGTATACAGAACCCCAATTAGCCATATAACTAAAATAAATCTACACCAGGCACATAATAATCGAGATTTAAGAAATTCCAGGGGGCCGGGAGATGGCTCAGTGGAATAAGTGCTTCCCTGGCAAGCCCAAGGGCCTGAGTTCAATCCCTGGTTCCACCAAAAAAAAAGAAAAGAAAAGAAATTCCAGACGAGAAGAGAATACCAAAAGCTGTTAGGGAAAAGAAACAGGTCACCTATAAAGGAAAGCCCATCAGAATCACAACAGCCCATCAGACTTCTCAACACAAACCATCAAGTCAAGAAAAGCTTGCAGTGTAGTATTTCAGGTTCTGAAAGAAAAAAAACATCCAATTCAGTTTGATATAACCTGAAAAACTGTATTTTAAAATTAATGGAAAAGAGATGACCGAGGGCCGCGGGATCCTGAACAGACCCAGAGC